AAAAAAAATTAAAACTGGGCATGGTAGGGCTGGCCAGATAGATCAGTGAACTAAAGCGCCTGCTTAGGCAGAGTGCAGTGGCCAGGGTTAGATCCCTGGTGTGCTGTGCCAGCCCCGTCCCCCCCGCCCCCCCGGGGTGCGCTAAAATGGTGACTGATAGTGTGCGCCTGTAATCCCAGCATTTAGGAAGCCGAAAACAGAATCATGGGGGCTGGGCAGATAGCGCAGTAGAAAAAGCACTTGCCTGGGAAGTGCAAGATCCTGAGTTCAATCCCTGGTACCACAAAAAAAAAAGAAAGAAAGAAAAGAAAAACAGAATCACTACATGTCCAATCTATATAGTGAGACCCTGTAGATTCTGTCCTAAAAATATGAAAAAACAAAACAAAAAAACTGGGCATGGTGGCGCACTCTTACAATACCAGTACTTGGGAGGCTGAGGTAGGAGGATGGTTGTGAGTTTGACAGCCTAAACTGTATAGTGAGACCCTGACTTTAAAATAAAAAATTGGGAGTGCCATGCCAGCCCCAGAACTGGGTATGGTGGTGCACACCTATAATCCCAGCATTAGGGAGGCTGAGATGGGAGGATCACTATGAGTCCACCCTGTATCAAAAATAAAATTTAAGGGGCTGGTGAGATGGCTCAGTGGTCTAAAGCATCTACTTAGAACAAGCTTAGCAAAGCACTTGGACCATGGTTCAATCCCCCAGCACCACATGCCAGCCAGTCCTGCCCCCTGGTGGGCTGAGCTGGCCACACACACACACAAATAAATAAAATTAAAAAAAAAAAAAAAAGACCCCCCCCCAAAAAAAAAGGTAATAACTAAAAAAGAAAAAAGCTTTAGTTGTTTCTAAGGGTTTGCAGGGGATTCTGATGATGTAAACCTAGAATTGTGACCTCATTTTGGGCGTGACAGGAAACTGGATAAGAAGTTTCTGTGTCAATAGAAAATGTAGGTAGGGTTAGGGTTAGGTAGCAGCTGTTGGGAACTTGTTCTTGTCTTTTAAGATCCTGGAGGCCTTCCCTTTAGATTTCACCAGACAAGTTGTTTTCTCCTCCAGTGAGCCAGCAGGAGGTGCTCAAGGGCTGTGCCCAGCAGGACAGGGAAACCAGGTTCTACTGTGGACTGCCTATTAGTCTGCCTATCTGCATTCTCTGCATTTCATTCTCATTCCTGAGATCTAGTTTTGGCTTGGAAATAAGATACTCGTATCTACCTAATGCCAATGGTAAATTATTACAAGGGACTGCTATATAGCTATCAGGACTTTGTGGAACTTAAGCTTGGTAAAGCTGAATCTAGGGGTGACTATGATTACAGATGCATTTGGATTGCATATGACTTTACTGAAGCTTTTCTTCCCTGCAGATTGATTTTGAGGATGTGGCTGCAATAAACCCAGAACTCTTACAGCTACCTCCTTTGTACCCGAAGGACAATCTGCCCCTGCAGGAAAATGTAACTGTTCAGGTAGGCACCTTCCATTGGGTCACAGCTAAAACCCCAGAGAAGTCATTTCTTTTCTGGTTTGCTGGTTTATTTTTGGTACTGTGTAGTATATGGGCCTGGGGTAACCCCTTTAGAGTTGATAAAAGTCATATATTTTGGTTGTTTGGTTTGATTTTCAGAAACAGAAACGCAGATCAATCAACTCCAAAATTCCTGCTCCAAAAGAAGGTAATTGGATTTATGGTGAGGCTGGGGTCCGAGTTGTGAATGCTATAAAATAGACACATGACTCCAGTTTAGCAGGTGACTTCTGAGTAGGCTGACTCCTAACCTGCACCCTGAGCATCTCAATGAGAAGCAGTGTAACTCACAGCTAAGCACTGTGGTACTCGATACATTTCAGAAACTGGGTTACTCACTTAAAAATATTTACTCTGGAAGCCAAATCCTGGTTCTGGGGAGAGGAAGCCAGGCCCCAGTGGACTTGTTTCCTTCTGCAGGGAACAGTCTGCCTTGGAGTGAGGCTGTGAGGATAATGGGCAACTCAGTTGGAGCTGTGTAGAAAGCCAGGCCATGATGTGTCAGTCAAGGGCTTGGGGCCAGGGACAGTTGACAACAGCATTGTAGTCTCAGAGAAAATTGAGATTGCTCTGCAGAAACAGTATGAACCTGCTTTGTTTACTACATGCTCCTGGTAAGGAATGGATGTAATCTCAGGCTGGCCAAAGTATAGCTCATTACTCAGAGCCAGCTCTGGCTGCATGCCATTAAACTGCACAGCTGTCCTCTTCCAGGTCACCGTTGTTTTGCAGGTTGTGGTGATGTAGGAACTCGGAGAGTTTGTGGCTGGAGCTTCTGGTTGCTGGGGGCTCAGATGGAAGATGGTGCTGACACAGGCTTGAGCAGGGCTTGGGGTGGGTCTTGTGCTGACTGTCTCTTGCTAGTTGTACCCTGAGGGCCTACAGGAGAGATGGGAAATGGCATTCCATTCTACATGTGTCTCTGCAAAGAGTATTGGTGCAGCGCCTCAGGCATGCTAATAATCACCTGCTCTGGCAGGCCTGGTGGTGCATGCCTGTGTCCCAGCTCTTGAGAGGCCGAGGCAGGAGGATCCCTGAGAGTTTGCCAGCCTGAACTACATAGCAAAATCATCTCAAAAACAAGCAAAACAAATCACCTGCTCTGCCACTGAGCTACACTCCTGGCCATGCAGCCATCTGTGTTTTGTTTTTGCATTGAAACTGGAACCTTGTGGGGAACTATCTGCTCGGGACCCCCACCTGTCCCTCTCTTGGACAGGAGCTTTCTTTCTCTCAATAAATATATTCTGCTTATAAAGAAAAAAAGAAGGAAACTGGAACCTTGAACATGTTTAGACAGGTGTTTGCCACCAAGCTACATCTTCAGCCCTTTTTCCTCTGTTTTGGTTTTCATTTTGTTGTTGTTGTTTTATTTTCATTTTTTGGTACCAGAAATCAAAATTAGGGCTTCACAATTGCCAGGCAGGTGCTGCACAGCTAACCTACGTCCCTAGCCCTTGTTTTGTCTTTTGAGACTGCAGCTCCTTATATACAGTTCAGCCTGGCCTGGAACTCATGAACTCATTATGTAACTCATGCTGGCATTGAATTCCTGGCTGTCCTGCCTCAGTCATCTGAGCACTGAGATTACAGGCATGCACCACCATGCCTGGCCATTCCTTTCTTCCTTCCTTCATTTATTGATGTTTTTGGAACATCGTCCTGCTGTATAGTTCAGGCTGGCCTTCAGCTCACTATGTAGCACAAGCATCAAGTTTATGACATTCCTTTTGTGTCTGCCTCTGAAGTACTGGGATTACAGGCATGAGCTACCATGCCCAACTTAAATCATTTGTGATGTAGGAAAATTGCAATAGTTATTGTTACTTATAAAAGAAATGGATGACTGATATTCCTCAATTTACAATGGTGTTATTCTTTTTTTTTTTTTTTTTTGGTGGAACCGGGGATTAAACTCAGATCCTTGCTTTTGCCAGTCAAGCGCTTATCCTACTGAGCCATCTCCCCGGCCCCAATGGTGTTATTCTTGATAAACCAATTGTAACTTAAAAGTGTCACTTTAACACACAAAATCACTGGGATGATAGCATATACCTATAATTCCAGTATTTGGGGTTAAGGCAAGAGGATCACCATAAATTCAAGGCCAGCCAGAACTGTACAGTGAGGCCCTATCTCAACCCACAAAAGCCAGGTGTAGTGGTACACACCTATAATCCAGCACTTAGGAAGCTGAGATGGTGAGATTGCTTCAAATTTTGTTTTTTGTATGTGTTTTGTTTTTTGGTACCAGGAATCAAACTCAGGACCTTACACTGGCCAGGCAGATGCTTACCCTGCTGAGCTATCTCCCAGCTCCTCAAGTTTGAAGTAGAGCAACTGGGTGTTCATAGTTCAAGGCCAGCCTAAGCTACATAGCAAGACCCTATCTCAAAAAAGGAAAAAAAAGAGCATTGTACTTTCAAGCCAGCTTGGACAATTTAATAACTTAGCAATATTCTATCTCAACACCCCCGCCCCCAGAACTGGGGATTGAACTCAGGCCCTTGCACTTGCCAGGCAAGCGCTTATTCTACTGAGCCATCTCCCTGGCCCGATCTCAAATTTTTTTAAGCTATAAAGAGCTAGGGATATAGCTCAGTATGAAAGTCCTGAATTTAAAAAAAAGGAAAGTCCTAAATTCAATCCCCAGTATTGCTAGTTGAGAAAAAGATTTTTTTTTTTTTAAGGCAGGGTTGACTATATAGTTTTTTTTTTTGGTGGAACCAGGGATTGAACTCAGGCCCTTGAGCTTGCCAGGCAAGTGCTTATTCTACTGAGCCATCTCCCTGGCCCCAACTATATAGTTCAGACTAGCCTTGAATCAACTATTATAGCCCACGCTGGCCTGAATTTCTTGGCAATCCTCCTACCTCAGCCTCCCAAGTGTTGAGATTATAGGTGTGCACCCCTACTTCTGGCTATAGTTTCTAATGAATATGCATTGCTTTCAAACCATGATAAAGTTAAAAACTTAAAAGTCAAAGCATTGTTAAGTCAAGGGAGTACTGTCGCAGGTATGGATGCTGTTAAGGTCCATGATACTAGTTCTCAAGGACTTGGAATAAGCTTGTTTTGGATTTGCTTTAGGTCCCTCCATTTACTTAAGACAAGTGGGCTTGTGGGAGATAACTTTACCCTAAAAACTCCTGGGCTTATGGAATGTGTACAAATAATTTTTGGGATCACTTGTATTTAGTCTTATTTCCTTCCCTTGGGTAGAAAGAACAGGAAGTTGTTGGGCTTCCCTCCAGTGGCAGGGACCCAGCTACCTTGCGCAGAACCTTGTAGATTTGTGCTGTCTGCCCTGCTCCTGCCCTTGGCTCTCCAGGTCTCCGAAGCCGCTCTACTCGCATGTTCGCTATCCCAGAGGCTCGAATCACCACTCAGGAAAATGATATGGAATTAGAGCTGCCTGTGTCCACCAACTCTCGCAAGCAGTTTCCAGCTACCAGTGAGTAATGAATTTTCTTTTTCTGTTTGAGGCCCTGTGCCTGTACCAAAATACCCTAGCGTACCTCCAATCCCAGGGTTCAGTGCTGTGCTCACTACCCCACCAACACTGTCTTTGTCTGGAAACCATTTGATTTTACTTTCATGAAACTCATTGAGCCTGGCGTGGTGGCCCATGCCTGCAACTCCAGCACTCTGGCTCCTAAGTCAAGCCTGGGCAATTAGGAAGACCCTATCTTTTTTGCTTCGAATGCCTTCAGGGCAGGTTTGGCTGGCTGGAGTTATGGGGATCAAACTACAGCAACCTGAGGCTGACAGCTTTGTGGAAGCAGCCACTTAAAGAACTGAGCTAGGGCCAGGCCCCCAGCAAGACCCTATCTTAAATAAAATAAAAGAGCTGGGGATATTGCTTAGCTAGCGGTATAGAACTTACATGGCATCGACATGGCTTTAGGTTGATCTCTAGTACTGCAAATCAGACACCCAAAACAAGACAGAAAAACTCAGTTGCAACACTATAGTGTACACACACAGGCACTTGCACACAGAGACATGCACGTATTCTTGAATGTACATCTAATTCAGCTTTCACAAAGTAATCACACTCATGTAACACCTGGCTAAGAATGTTACCTGTACCCTAAAAGTATTTTTCACACCTGCTTTAGTATTCTAATCATCACTAGCAGCAGCAGCACGACCACCACCCTGGCTTCTACGATCCTTTTTTTTTTTTTTTTTTTTTTTTTTTTTTGGTGGAACCGGGGATGAACTCAGGCCCTTGCACTTGCCGGGCAAAAACTTATTCTACTGAGCCATCCCCCTGGCCCATCTACACTCAGTTTAAAATCATTTTAAAAATTCCCGGTCAGGGACTGGGAGATAGCTCAGTAGCGTAAGTGCCTGCTTGGCAAGTGCAAAGTCCCGAGTTTGATCCCAGGTACCAGAAAAAAATAAATAATTCTCTGGTCAAAGCTGGGTGTGGTGGCATATGCCTATAATCCCAGTACTTGGGAGGATCATGTTAGTTCAAGACCAGCCTGGGCTACAAAGTGAGCTCAGTGCTAACCTGAACTGCATAGTGAGACCCTATCTCAAAAAGACAAAATGAAAAATTAAAAAATAAAAATTAGTTGGACTTAGTGGCACACACTAGTAATCCTAGCACTAGGGAGAAGTCACAAAGGCCTGGCTTTTCTCCAAAATGTGTAGAAAATAAGATTGGCCAAATAGCTCTGGGGATTAAAGCTCCTGTTTAGGCAGCCACAGGGGTTGGGAGGGTCTGCCTGCCAAGCCAGCCTTGCCCCCAGGGCGCTCTGAGATAGCCTTTGAGATTGGGCCTGGTGGAGTGGCCTATATTCCCAGCTCTTGGGAGGCTGAATGCAGGCAGGTCACTACGAGTCCGATCTACATAGCGAGACACTGTAGACCCTTACTAAAATACTTTAAAAAAAAAAAAAAAAGATAGAAAGTCCTGGTCCAAGAACCCATGCTATGTGCTAAGCTATGCACTACACTATTTTAAGATATTTTGGTTTTTTGTTTAAGATATTTGGTTGGGGGAGAGATTTTGTTCCTAGCAGCCTGGCCTTGCAGAAAGGGAGGCTGGGTTCCGAGTGTAGGCTGAAGTACAGGAAATCAAGTCTGTTCATACTTTAGGAGGGTAAGTCCTTGCTCAGGGGCCTGGAAATTGGCCAACCTGAGGGAGCTGTTGGGCTTTAGTGACTCTGGTTGCCCTGCAGCTCGCCTCCTTAGGCCCTCTTACCCTGTAGTGGCTGAAATACCATTGATGATGAGCAGCAAGGAGGTGGAGAAAGGGGTCCACTCCACCAAGGCAGCTCTTCTACACACCCACAAGCTAGGGGAGATGGGCTATCTGCTTCCTGCTCCCAGTGCAGCACAACATCTGTGCTAAACCCGCCTGCCTGGGCACCTGAGTTCAAATGCTTTATCACCTCAAGGTTGTGTCTTCTAGCGGCCATGGACTCAGTCTTTCACAAGATTGAGAGAAGCCCTCTGAAGTATTTGAGGTCATCACAGCCAGGGTTTCAACCAGCACCTGAAGAGCAGCCCCCAGCAAGATGAGACTATGAAAGGCTCTTTGAGCCTTTTTGTTATTGAGAAAATAGCCACAGAAACATAGTTTAGATCAGAACTGAGGTACTGCTGGGTTTGGTGGCACATGCTTGTAATCCCAGCACCATTGATGAAATAGAAATCCCAGTACTTGGGAGAATGAGGCAAAAAAAACTGCCACAAGTTTGAGGCTAGCATGAGCGACAAATGCCAAAAAACCCAAAATTGGTGTGCTGCTCTCATGGCTGTGATCTCACATTAGGCAAATCATTACTTCACGGATGTATAGTAGTCACACCTGTTGACCCTTCTTGCATACAGTGATGTAAAAGGCAAGGACCTAGCATAGGCCTATTCCCTGGAAAGGCCCAGGGCTCAGCAAGCCATCCAGACAAGAGCCAACTGACATAGCTGATAACAGTGGGCTTCCTTTTTTCCCTAGTTCGGAGGAAATCATGTATTGTAAGAGAAATGGAAAAGATGAAGAACAAACGGGAAGAGAAGAAGGCCCAGAATTCTGAAATGAGAATAAAGCGAGCGCAGGTACCTTTGAAGCCTTGGCAAGGGCTTTTGGACAGGCATCCTTCCCTGAAGCCTGATGGGTGGCGGGTCGAGGGGTCAGGACCCAGCCTTTCCCAGGCTTCATTTTCAATATCTAGCAGTTTGATTTCTCAGGACTGAGAGAACACATACATAATTCAGAAATGTATTTGAATGTCCTCAGGTGAGCAATACTTGATGCCAGCTGCCCTGGGCAAACTGTCACAGTGCACATGTTATGTCCCTGGGCTGAGCAGTCATCCTCTCTTTCCCTGCCACTCACTGCCCATACTGCAGGGACCCCTGCTGTGGCACCTTCCAAGGTACAGGAGGTGGCTCTTGTACCACCTCCTAGGGCAGTGCGGTGCATCCTGGGCTCTTGTGGGTCTCTGTTGTCCAGGGCTTTGCACGTGGTTTCTCAGCTTGAGCCAGCAAGAGCCAAAGCTATGGTTGCTGCCACTGAGCACAGAGTCTGGGAGCATTTGCAGCTTGACAGTCTGCCATTTTTTGTTCTTGTCTCAAACAGGAATATGACAGCAGCTTTCCAAACTGGGAGTTTGCCCGGATGATTAAAGAATTTCGTGCTACTCTGGCATGTCAACCACTTACTATGACTGACCCTGTAAGTAAATTGAAAAGCCATGTGCTCCTTCCTGAGTAGGTACAGAACTGAAGGACAGAGAACTTGTAGTGATCTCTCAACCTAGAGGTGTGGCTTTTTCACCCATCTCCCTGTGTAAGGACTAAACTGAGAGCCCCTCATAAATTGAGTGTTACCACTACTACCTTTTACTTTGTTTTCTTTTTCTGAGGCAGGTGTGGCTCTATAATCCCCTCTGGCCTGGAATTCATAATCCTCCTGCCTCAGCCTCCCCAGAGCTGGGATTACAGCACATGTCAGCATCCCCAGCAGCACCCTCCCTTCCTTTTCTAACAGTTTGGTCGGCAGAATCCAATGGGATCTAGGTGGGAGGTCTGGTCTTTACAAACTGCCCCACCCTGCCTATTATGGGTTGGCTGGGCTCTTGCTAATAATTGTTAAAATTTATTCTGAAACCACCTGTAAACACCAGAGTGAGAAAACCGGCAGGATCTGTGGTGCTCTGACTCTATGGTGTTCTTTTCTCATCCTCTTGCAGATAGAAGAGCACAGGATCTGTGTCTGTGTTAGGAAACGGCCACTGAATAAACAAGGTAAGCTGCTGAATCAGGAAGCGTCTTCAGACTGGGATACCCTGTATTCAGAGAGCAGCCCCTGAAGTACTCTCTTCCCGCAGAATTGGCCAGAAAAGAAATAGACGTGATTTCCATTCCAAGCAAGTGTCTCCTCTTGGTGCATGAACCCAAATTAAAAGTGGACTTAACAAAGTATCTGGAGAACCAGACATTCTGTTTCGATTTTGCATTTGATGAAACAGCTTCAAATGAAGTTGTGTACAGGTTAGTCCATTCCATCTCTTTTCCTCCTTGGTGTGGGGCTGAATTCAAACCTGTTCTTGGCCTCATGTCTTCTGTGGTCAGCTCTGGTTCTCAGCACCAGGAAGGTCCCATTACGTAGCTGCTGCTCCTCAGCGGCTCAGCAGCCTTGAGTGGATCATGAGTGAGGCATCACGTGTTACTTGGGGTGGTGGGCAGGCTCTAGAGTCCTCCCAGGGCTGATGCAGCCACCCCATTATTCACTGTGGTTAGCAAACTCAGGTGACTCCCGATCTGCTTTGAATAGTACACACCCTAGCCTCACTTAAATCTAAGAAATAAAATTAAAAATTCCATTTCTTGGTTGCACTGGCCACATTTCATAATAAGTAGGCTGCATGTGGCAGAGGCTGTGCTTAGACAGAAAGTTCTGTTGGTTGGCCCTGCTGTGGTACAGAGGGTGACACACTGGCTCCTGACCCCTTTGTGGAAGCTTCTTAAACCAAAACTGCTTTGTTTTTAGTTTTCCTAAAAGAAAGAAATGTGACAGACTGTGTGTAACCCACAAAGCATATAATATTTAAGTGTAGGTTTTCCCTGTTCCTTGAGTGTTTTATGCTGGAAGTTATCACAGCTGAGGTTTTCATCTCCTGCCTCTGGAGAGAGGAGGGGCTGGATGGTGCATGATACGAGCCGCAGCTTGCTCCAGTTAGCTCATAGTGTGTAGATTTGACCTAGGATTGAGATGAGGTGGAAACACTGAGACAGGAGAGGAGTGCCGGGATTAGAAGTCAAGGTCCTGGAAGCTCAGAGGTGGAAGGACTGTAGTTTAGGAAACACATTTTGGGGATAGATACTGGTCCTTGTATCCTTACGTTTTTAATCTGTGAATTCAGCCACAAACAAACACAAATCAACCATATTAAAAAAAAAGTAAATTGTGTCCCCTACTGAACATATGCAGACTTTTTTCTAATCATTTTCTCCTCTAAATAATACAATGTAGCAGCTGCATTGCATTTATATTGTGTTAGGTATAGGAATTGTTTCTAAGCGAAGTGGTGGCTCACTCCTGCAGCCTGTAGTCCTGGCCTGCTGAGAAACTAAAGCAGGAGAATAGCAAGTTTGAGCCTAGTCCAGACAACTTAATGAGTTCTTGTCTCAAAATTTAAATGAAAAAGCTGGGTGTGGTGGTGCACGCCTGTAATCCCAGTACTTGGATTAAGGCAAGGGGATCACTGTGAGTTCGAGACCAGCCTGAGCTGCATAGTGAAACCCTGTCTCAAAAAAGAAAAAAAAAAGAAAAAATTAAGTGAAAAGGGTTAGGGAACTAGGAAAGCACTCTAGTTCAATCCCCAGAACTTTTTTTTTGAGAAAGGGTTTCACTATGCAGTTCAGGCTATGAGCTCACTGGTCTGAAACTCACAACGATCCTCCTGCCTCAGCTGCCCATGTACTGGGACTATAGGCATCAAGTGCCACTATGCCCGGCTCCTATCCTTAGCACTAGAAAAAAATAATCCAGCGATGATTTAGATACAGGAAGAGGTGTATTGGGTACAAAAGATGTGTCATTTTATATAAAGGACTTGTGCACTGGTGATTTGGGTATGGGGTAGTGCCTTAGCCAATCAGCCTTAGACACTGAGGAGTAGCTGCACAAACACTCTCACCCTCTACTCCATTTTTTCTCTCAGGTTCACAGCAAGGCCACTAGTACAGACGATTTTTGAAGGAGGAAAAGCTACTTGTTTTGCATATGGGCAGACAGGAAGTGGAAAAACTCATGTGAGTATTTGCACCTGTCAGAGAAAGGCTTCCTCTGCCATATTGGGTCCATAAAAAGGAAAATAAGAATGGCATTGTGGTGTAAGTTATGATCCCAGCACTCTAGGAGGCTGAGGCAGGAAGATTCCAAGTTTAAAACTAGCCCAGAGAACTTAGCAAGACCCTATCTCAAAATTTGAAAGTATGAAAAAGGTCTAAGTATGTAGGTCAGTGCAAAGTATTTGGCTTCAATCACAAGCTCCACTACCACCACCACTAAAAAATAAAGGAAAACTGTGAGTTTCTTGAAGAAAGTCCCTTTGAGCTGGGTGTGGTCATACGTACCTGTATGCCCAGCACTCAGGAGGCTGAGGCAGGATGATTGCCTCTTTTTTTTTTTTTTTTTTTTTAATGTATCTGGTACAGAGCTTCACTATGCAGCTCAGACTCAGTGATCTTGTTTTCAACCTCCCCAGCTCTGGGACTATAGGTGTTTGCCACCACATCTGGTCTTGGCCAGCACAGAAGGGGTTGGGGGTGGGGCCAACACAGCATGTGGTGCCAGGGATTGAGCCCTAGTCTCTGCACTTGCTTAAGCAGGCACTTAGTCCACTGAGCTATCTCACCAGCGCTGTTGCCTTGAGTTTGAGGCCAGCCTAAACTATATAGTGAGTTCAAGGCCACCCTGAACTACATAGCAAGACCTTGTCCCCTAGAACCAAACAATCAAGCAAATAAAGTTAGAAAGCAGGAGCCCCATCACCAGACTCTCTGTGCCAGGTCCAGTCTCTGGTGTGGCCCACCATGGCATGAGAGCCAGTAGTGTTCTGACTTGAGCTAAAGGTCTTAACCACAGGGATCTACCTCTTCTTTCTCTTTCACAGACTATGGTTGGAGACCTGGCTGGCAAATCCCAGAATGCATCCAAGGGGATCTACGCCATGGCCTGTAAGTAGTGCATTCTGTGCACTGAGTGTGGGCACAAAAGCGTGGTCACTTAACCAGACTCTTCCTCCAGCCCAGGATGTGTTCCTCCTGAAGAATCAGCCTCGCTACCGGAATCTGGGCCTGGAAGTCTACGTAACATTCTTCGAGATCTACAATGGGAAGGTGAATAACAGCCCCGCTATGTGGTTTGTGTCCCCCTTGCCATCTGCTAAAATCTGACCATTGGCTAGAAGTTGTGGACCCAAACATCCTGTTGGCTGTAGGGCCTTTGGTGTGCTCAGCCCTGGCATGTGTAGGAGGCTTCATCTGATGCTAACAGGTGCCCAAGCCCAGCGCACAGAATGGGAGCACCTTGGGTGGAAGGGCACTTTGGGTGTGCTTGGCTTCCCTATATCCACCTCCCTCATGAGCCTTCCCTGGCTCTGCACATTCTCTCTCTCTCTCTCTCTTTTTTTTTTTTTTGTCTTTCCATTTTATATATTTGGTACAGGGTCTTACTCACGCCCTTACTCTGCTGCAAGCAAAGTGTGCCCCAGGGCAGGCCCCGTGCAGCATTCCAGACAGAGATCGAACCCTGTTCCCTACACTTGCCAAAGCAGATGCTTAGTACACTGAGTTATCTCACCAGCCTTTCTGCACATTCATGCTCATTCTGCCTCTAATTTTCTGTGTGTTTGTAGAGTGGCCTTCCCAGAGCACAACCTAAGTCATAAAAATAGCTAATAGTACCACCCACAGGATATTATGTGCTAAGCATGATTCTAAGCACTTGTGTCAACTTTACAAATGAGAAGCAGCAGACTAAGGTCTTGCCTAGGCAATGAGTTAAGTAGCAGAGTTCCATCAAACTGAAGCAAATTGCTTCAGGTCTCAAGTAGAATGATACCTGTGGGTTCATTTTCTCTCCAGCTTTTTTTTCTTTTTCTCTTTTTTGTTTGTCTTTTTGAGACAGTCTCACTAAACAGGTCAGGCTGGTCTCGAACCTACAACAATCCTGCTGTTGAGCCTCCAGAGTGCTGGGATTGGAGGCCTCCTTGCAACAATCCTGCTGTTTAGCCTCCAGAGTGCTGGGATTGTAGGCCTCCACCATTAGTCCTGCCTTTCCCTCTGGCTTTCTTACTGCCAGCCCTGTCTAAGCCAGGCATGGTCTGTAGGAAAGCAGTATTGGGCAGGGCTGTCAGCACCTGTGGCCCCTAGGCTTAACGCCCCTTTCCCGGCACAGCTGTTTGACCTGCTTAATAAGAAGGCCAAGCTACGTGTGCTGGAGGATGGCAAGCAACAGGTGCAGGTGGTGGGGCTGCAGGAGCACCTCGTTAACTGTGCAGAGGACGTCATCAAGATGATCGACATGGGCAGTGCCTGCAGGTCAGTCCAGGCAAGGGGAAGGGGTCATCTTCTGATGTCTGGTGCCAGAGACAGAGTAGCTTATGTTCATTTCTGTTTCCACATACTGCTGCTGCTCCTAAGGGCTGTAAGAATCTGCTTTTTTTGTTTTTTGTTTAAGGATCTGTACTTTGAAAAGGTCTCAGTAAAGCAGATGACGAGGCCAGAGGCTCATCAGCACTGAGTTAAAGCTGCTTTAGTTCAGGCATGCTTCTGGCATCCACGGGATTCTCCTTGTTTCCCTCCTTCTATGGTGTAAGTTAGGTGCTCTGGATCTGTTCTGGGCTGGAAGTAATGGGACTATAGCTCCTCTCTACAGAAATAGGGAAGACCTGAGATGGTGCAAGGAGTAATGGACAACTATAGAGGCCCAGGGAGGGCTGCTGTCTTCAGGGCTCCTGGGTTTGGTGGTCATGACCGCACCTCTCCCAGCATGCCCTGTAGCTGAGGGCATTCCTTTGGACCTGTGTCCTCAGGGGCTCAGGTCTGGCCAAGGCCTTCGCACAGAATCCAATCTATTCTGATTCAGTTGCCTGGGAGATGTGTTAATTCCAGAATAGGAGAGAGAGTTGCTGTTTAGGGAGGACAGAATGGACACAGGATTCCTAGAATCCTACTAGTATTCTTTCTTCGTTACCAGAGAACTGGAGACTGGGATGGCTTAGACTCCAGGGCACCCTAGAGTGCAGTAGCCCCAGAAACTCATAGCCTTTTTTTTTTTTTTTTTT